GAGTATAGCATACCAAATTTGATTCTCAGCTAGGTGGGTTATTGCCTCGGTTACTGCATATAAAAGTTTTTCTATCAGTTGTTAAAGTCTTGTACCACCCTGTATAAATAGGTATATTTTACTACATACAGGGTGGCCAATCGAAAACGAAACAGAGGCCTTTGCGGGCAGCCCATAATTTTTTTTTTTAAATCGCTCGGCCAGTCGATTTTGTTTTCGAGGGGGACAAATCCTGATGCAACTATTTATTGTACATGCAACTATTTATTGTGTGCCAAAAAGGCTCTACCGATTTCAACTTTATTTTTTCAAATGGGACACCCTGTATTTTATTATATATGTGGATTCCACCAATAATTCTAAGTAATTTTATCTCAGGTACCATGGCTCTATTGTCAATAGTTTTCGAGTTAGAGCCCCGTGAAAAATGTCATTCTAATGATGTCACCTACAGGGTGAATCAAAAATGGTAATCTTTCTGGAATTTGGAAATTATGATTTTTTTTTTTAATTTTTGTTTCACCCTGCAAGTGACATCATTAGATACCCTATCAAAAACTGAGGAAGGAATGTCAAAGTCATTTTGCTCTAAGTTAAACCGTTTGAATTTTATAGGCCCCTAAAGTGTCTAAAGTGACATTTTTCACGGGGCTCTAACTCGAAAACTATTGACAATAGAGCCATGGTACCTGAGATAAAATTACTTACATATATATATATACAGGGTTAGTAAAAAGTACTGCAACACTTAAATATCTTCAAAACTGCTTAAGCCGCGTTCACACAATTTGGAATCTGACAGTTTTCAGGCATGCGGAATTCAACAGTGCTATTGAGAATGTTGCCAGATTTCCCAGTTTTGCGCTACACGTAGTCTTTTTGTTATCTTGAATAGAATGCCCCATTCATTTTTATTGCAATGAATTGGGCGTGCCAAATTTGATAAGACTTCAATTTTTCAGAATTCTATCCCTACTAGTTGTTGAAATATGACAACACCGTATTTTCGGTGAAAAGTATCGCAACGCTTGAATATCTTCAAACGCTGCTTAAGCACGTTCACGAAATTTGGCATCTGGGTGTTTTTAAGCAAGTGAAATTTAACCGTGATATCGGCATTGTTGCCAGATTTCCCAGTTCTGCCCTACAAGTAGTCTTTTTACTATCGCGAATAGAATGCCCCATTTATTTTCATAGCAATAAATTGGACGTGTCAAATTTGATAAGATTCCAAATTTTCTGAATTCTATCTTCACTAGTTGCTGAAATATGCCAACACCGCATTTTCAGTGAACGGTATCGCAACGCTTGAATATCTTTAAAAATCCTCTTAAGCTCGTCCACTAAATTCGGTATCTGGGGATTTATAGGCAAGCGAAATTCAACTGTGATATCGGCATTGTTGCCAAGTTTCCCAGTTTCGAGCTACACATAATCTTGCTCGTGGCTTATGGTTTTTTTTCCCTCCAATAAGACGAGTTACTTGTTCATGAGGTTTTCATATTTCCGGGAGTTTCCGATAAGTTTGCGGCTCCTCCTGAAATAGGTAGGTAACTATCCCAGAATGATTATCATTATAGTAGTATTTAACAGTACAAGCAGCATATTGGAAATTTGGAATCTCATCAAAATTTGAACTAATTCATTGCAATAAAAATAAATTTATTCAAGATAACAAAAAGACTACGTGTAGCGCGAAACTGGGAAACTTGGCATTAATGCCGATATCACAATTGAATTTCGCTTGCCTATAAATTCCCAGATAGGTACCGAATTTAGTGGACGAGCTCAAGCGGGTTTTAAAGATATTCAAGCGTTGCGATACCGCTCACTGAAAATGCGGTGTTGGCATATTTCAGCAACTAGTAGAGATAGAATACTGAAAATTTGGAATCTTATTAATTTTGGCACGTCCAATATATTGCAATAAAAATACATGGGGCATTCTATTCAAGATAAGAAAAAGACTACGTGTAGCGCAAAACTGAAAAGTCTGGCAACAATGCCGATATCTCGGTTGAATTTTGCTTGCCCAAAAACCCCCAGATACCAAATTTCGTGAACGTGCTTGAGCGGCGTTTGAAGATATTCAAGCGTTGCTATACTTTTCACTGAAAATACGGTGTTGTCATATTTCAGCAACTAGTAGAGCTAGAATTCTGAAAGTTTGGAAACTTATCAAATTTGGCACGCCCAATTCATTGCGATAATAATAAATGGGGCATTCTATTTAAGATAACAAAAAGACTACGTGTAGCGCAAAACTGGGAAATCTGGCAACATTGCCAATAGCACTGTTAAATTTCGCATGCCTGAAAACTGATTCCGAATTGTGTGAACGCAGCTTAAGCAGTTTTGAAGATATTTAAGTGTTGCAGTACTTTTTACTAACCCTGTATATTAAAAATAAAGTTGACATCGGTAGAGCCTTTTTGGCACACCCTGTACAATAAATAGTTGGATCAGGATTTGTCCCCCTCGAAAACAAAATCGACGGGTCCGAGCGATTTAAAAAAAAAAAAAATATGAGCTGCCCGCAATGGCCTCTGTTCCGTTTTCGATTGGCGACCCTGTATATCAATTTTATTTAGCTTTTCAAGATCATATTGTTGATAGAACGATCAAGATTGTAGGTATTTAAAAATATACATTATATCGATAATCCTGACTAGTCCAAGAAACGGGGATCTGAAAAGAGGGTCTACCTCAACATAATTAGAAGTTGAAATTTTTTTGGGGGGATCGGTCCATTTTAATATGCTAAACAACATATTAAGTTTGCGACCTTGTACTTCCATAGGGTTTTCAGTTAGGGGTGGTTTTTAGGGGTAATTTGCGGTTTATGGAGAACGCTGCTCAAAGGGATGGTTCAATAGCAAAAAGTTTCAAATGAATGTTGTAGCTGAAGTTTTTGCCATTTTGTGCGCATTTGTTGAAGCAGCGGCCGAATGCATAATCCGATTTCAATTTTTCAAACACCGCATTATTGCTAATGGAATGCACTCTCCAATGCTTTTTGTTCGAATTTTTTGCTTGAAAATTAAGCGAGCACAGACTTGTCTAATGTGCGAGGAAGTTGTAAATTACATCGAAAACTACCCCTTTCTTTCATTCACTGTAATTTCTAAACGGGGCCAAATATTTGGTGACAGTTTTGGACAATCGGCAGCCCATTTATTCCTCTCATAATGCCCCAGAGGATTTTTTTTTTCATCAATTACTTAATGACTTATTGGGCTGAAAACGCCGCGCGGGATTTTTCAAAAAGTGAAAAAAAATTAAAATGGTCGCATAGCGCTGAAATTTGGTACGATGGCCTTATTTATTGTTCTTACTGCAATTTCAATTGCTTCACATGATGTAAAATTGCAGTATATTCATGAGAACAATAAATAAAGCCATCATACCAAATTTCAGCGCTATGCGACAATTTTAATTTTTTTTTACTTTTTGAAAAATCTCGCGCGACGCTTTCAGGCCAATAAGTCATTAAGTAATTAACACAAAAAAAATCCGCTGGGACATTATGAGAGGAATAAATGTGCTGCCGATTGTCGAAAACTGTCACCAAATATTTGGCCCGTTTAGAAATTAGAGTGAATGCAAGAAAGAGGTAGTTTTCGATGCAATTCACAACTTCTTCGCACATTAGACAAGTCCGTGCTCTCTTAATTTTCATGCAAAAAATTCGAACAAAAAAGCATTGGAGAGTGCATTTCATTAGCAATAATGTGGTGTTTGAAATATTGAAATCGGATTATGCATTCGGCCGCTGCTGCAACAAATGCGCGAAAAATGGCAAAACGTTGATTCAGTGACCTTGAACAAAAACATGCTACTATTCAAGACGCTGCAGAAAAAAAACTATAGAAGATAGAGGGGTGCTGTCGCTGAGTTTTTTATAGCAAAAAACTTCAGCTACAACATTCATTTGAAACTTTTTGCTATTGGACCATCCCTTTGAGCAGCGTTCTCCATAAACCGCAAATTACCCCTAAAAACCACCCCTAACTAAAAACTATATGGAAGTACAAGGTCGCAAACTTAATATGTTATTAAGTACATGAAAATGAACTGATCCCCGCCAAAAAATATTAACTTCTAATTATATTGAGGTAAACTTCCTTCATTGCTTGGCCTAGACTGACTCATTTGAGTCATTTGAGTCATTTGAGGCTGTTTAGTTTTTAGCATGATTGTTTTGTTAATAAATTTATTTCATGCACAAATAGTTTATTATTTCACGTTCATTGTTTCATATAATTGAATAGGTACCCAAAAGTATTCATGCATTATAGGTATACAAAGTATAGCCCAACATTGATTTTTCGGATTGCTTCAGTCTATAATCATCCACTGGTGAAGTAATGTTCTATTTCTGGAAGTTCACAATTAATGCTGCAAAATTCTGTTCGACCATTCCTTCTGTAGTCTCCCGACACTTCGTTTCGTTCCTCTCAGTCACCAATAAATCGTCACCTTTCATCTTTCTTTGCATCAGCATGCCCCATACCTACACTTAGCTATTGTCTATTATCTCTTATCCACAACTTTTTTTATTAGGGTTTTTTATTACATTTTTGTATGTACCTACAGGGTGTTCAGATTCTGGTGGGCAAAGAATTAATTTAAATTGGAATTGATTGTGAATATAGCATAAACTCAGAAAAGAAAAAAGTTTTAAATCAAGAAGCAAAAAAAAAGAACTCTTATAAGTGGGACAATCTGAATTGATATCAGTGTACTGGCAGTAACGTAAGTATTCCCTTGTAGAAAATGTTGAAAATAATGAAACGTCAGAAGCAAAAAAACTCAGAATAAGTTATATTATATTATGCACTTTAATTAAACAGTGGAGCTTCTTTACGTTTAAGGTTTAGATACAATTCAACAGTTTCATTCGGTTCATCGACTCGAACAAAATTGTTTTCTTCCATGACTATGCAACATAAATCATAAAAATCCTTATCGCATGCTTCTTTAATTGCGAATTCTGGAATTTAAGTAATATGATCGCTTACTCCATGAAGAGATGGCATCTCATACATTATAGCTGGTCTTCCTGCTGGGGCATTAGCATTTCTTGTTTTTCTAATTCTGTGAACGTTCCATTCTAAGCAAACTTGATCTAGTTCTTTCTAGAAACCATTCAAATTAATACTTAATAATTCTTACTTACTTGAAACTTCAAATAATAATTGATAGGTAATTTAAAACTAGAGATACGAAGAGCTACATTTACCTGTATCAAAGGAGTGGAACAAAACTGAATTAAAGATTTGTCCAAAAATGAACCATCAAACAAGTTATCTTCCTTTAACATCTGAAACACATTCATCCAATACTGGGCATTGTGTTTACGTAGCATCGACCACCAGGCTTCTATAAGCTGATTATGCATGCTTTTACCATATAAAAAGCACGGACGATCCATTACAGATTGTTTAAATAATTCATGTAATGCCTTTTATATTTTTTCCACCGTTCCATTTTCAGTGCCCATATCACATCTTATTGTTTTAGGGCAACCTCCAACCAATTTGATTGCATCCAAGAAGTACCCTCCAATTACCTAAAAAAAGTGACTTTAGTAATAGGTTGATGACCAAGAGCAATAACTAAATAAACTTGACAAAAATAAATACCTTTAGATTACTGGAAGTTGGCCCAGCTTTCAGCCATATAATATGTCTTGAGAACCCATCTATACAACCGTTTATGCAAACTCCAAATGGCTTCAACTTATCGTAAGAATCGATGTGCCATATGTAATTTGGTCCCTCATTGCAATATTGTCTCCGACGAAGTCGTCGTATTCGACGCAGCTCTACCCCATCTGGGTCCAATAAACCTAATAGATCTCTAACTATCTGTTGGGTTACCACGAAGTTATTCTGTAGACAACGCAAATGCATCCATTTATAGCCATGAAGTTGACCAGATTTACTTAATTCACTTTCTATAAACTTTACAACATCTTCTATCTTAGAGAACTGTTTACGTCTAAACAAGTTTAACTTTGACAAAAGCCTCTTTAAAGTTCGTAGAGACATTGTTTTTCCATGCAAAATTTTTAGAAATTGAAGAATTTCTTTATGCTGAAGATCCAGTGAAAAATATTGGACAACCAACTCCTGTGTATTATCAGCCTAAAAAAAATGTTCAGTTCGTCACGTCACGCCTCTATAAAACTTGTTTATTTTCAAAGTAGGAAACGCATTCATGATTAATTCATAATTATGATCTGTCTCCAAACCAGCGTTTCTCAACCTTTAAGTATTTGCGAGACTGCCTTATTCAGTAGTATTTTTCATTGCGCCCCCCTTGCCATTTTCATTATTTTCAATTTTTAATCTGCGACTACAGATTTAAGGAAGTAATTTCAAGCTCTTTTTGATTTAGCAATAAAATTTAATTACATATTAAAATACTAAGTATCACCTATACTTATACAATTCAATTTATTATACTCGAGATTATAGTGTATTACATCAGGGCAAATGTGTATTTTATGCTTTATAATATCAGAATTTATTTTGTTTTGGGCTTCTTGCAATAAAATAATAATAAAAAATACTACATATCACTTTCTATTTGGTATGCTCGGGCCTCCTATTTGGAGTTAACTGGCCGAAAATAATCGCTGCTCTGAAACTCTGAACCATTTTTATATTTACTTACCTGAACTTGAAGGTCCATTATCCCTAGTAATTCAGAAATACTTTATGGAATACCACACTGGTATTTTAGACTTTGATAATTTTGTTATCTCAAATAAAAATGTCTATGTAGGTATACACACTTGAAACAACTTTTCTAGCTAAAACCAAAGTAGGAAACGAGATATAACTCGTAATTACGAGATAAAAGTCGTAATTTTCAAAATTACGAGATAAAAGTCGTATTTTTCAAAATTACGAGATATAAGTCGTTATTACGAGATAAAAGTCGTAATTTTCAAAATTACGAGATAAAAGTCTGATTTTCAAAATTACGAGATAAAAGTCGTAATTTTCAAAATAACGAGAAATAAGTCGTAATTACGAGATATAAAGTCGTAATTACGAGATAAAAGTCGTAATTTCATAATTACGAGATATAAGTCGTTATTACGAGATAATAACTCGTAATTACGAGATAGAAGTCGTAATTTGCAGTTGTTACGGGATGATTTTTCCTGGGTTAAAATGAAAGGAAATAAGCGTATTCGCCTCAATGAATAGCATACCTTCGTCAAGCCACTGTTGTCTTTTCAATAGTTGTGGCCAAACTTTTCATCAAACTTTTCATTTTTCCCAGAATCATTAAGTTAGAGGTTTATTAATGGAATTGATTTTCTGTTAGTAGGGTTAAAATAAATAGACAATTAATTTATTAATAAAACAAAATCACAATATTTACACTAGAACTAGCTAATGTCTGATCCGATTAGATTGATTAGATTGACAGCGCTCCAAATAGAGTCAATGACCGGTACTAACTTAATTTGAATAAGTCCCATGCCCCAACTACCATCAAAATTCCCCAGTACCTTTCACCTTGGAGTTTTGACAGAGACTTTTTAAAGGACATTGCAGGGACAAGCAGAGGTCATTCAGGTCGGGGACTTTCCACGATTAAGTGTTCGGGAAAATTCCTCAGGCACATTTTGCCGATTTTCTGAGTTGTCTAGTTTTCGCTCATACACGGAAAAAACACTCTACTATATTTAAGAATAGTAGCGTTTGCCCAAGAATATATTCGTTTCACTATTCCACAAGAAAATATAATATTTAATTCTAGTATTGCCCTATTCTTAAGAATTGAAAATGAGTTCAACTTATATCCAGAATACGGTAGTGTCGAATTCGAGAATAGCCTAGTAATTGTTTCAAGAATAAGATAGATTTGTTGATCAAGTATTGTTATTCTTATTCGAAAAATTACTTATAGTTATCACAAAAACTACAATGTATTTCCAAATATTTCTTATTCTTACTTCAAAAATAACCTCTTATTGTTTTAACTACTCGTGTACTTACCATTAATATTGAAACACAGTTTACTCTGAAGTATATTTTATTCTTCAAATTCTTGTTTTATAAATTTATATAATATATACCTAAAGGTATAAACTGATGGAATAATAACAAAAAAGTTAATTGTGATAAGTACAATAACAATCATAGATAGGTACATTTATTTATTAATTATTCACATACCGGAAGGTTGGGAAAATCCGTTATAGATGCTGCATTTTCTTCACTTTTAACGCCATTTTTGTACCGATTTATTTTCTTGGCCAATTTTAATCTAACCTCCATTTTGGGAATTCGCTCTTTACTTTGTTCATCATTTATGTTCAACCATTGTCCAAGTCAATTTCATTTCCTAAAATTAAAAATAATGTTTTTATAGACACTTTGTCAACAACTTATCCTAACGCAAAAGGCAAATAGATTGGATAAGGTACTTCTACATGATGATAGATAACACGCGGTTTAAGTTTTTACCTAAATGATGGCCACCCACGCCAACAATGCCTAATAATTTTTTGGTTGTTTTTTCCCGGAAATTGAGCAGGAAAAGTGAAACTTACCTTCAAATATTGGAATTAAACATTCCAAATCCCATTTCTTCAACAAAAAAATCAATTTTGTCACGAAAAACACTGTAAAAACACAGGTAGCGACGCGTGGCGTCCTTCGGCGTCCCTTCAACCAAACTTCAACTTCATGTTCAATGGAATGAATGAGAGAGAACGCAACGCGAAGCAAAGCACAAAGGCGACTAGAAGGCAGGTTGAAACAAACATGCATTTCATTTAAGAATAATATACTCACTTCAAACTATAGGTATTTCAAGCGAGAAATTATTTCAACATTACATTAAGAACAAACCTATATTTGATAAAATATATTTTTTATTCTTGATTTAAATGAAAAATAATTGAGATGAATATTTAAAGAGTTTCAAAATAACATTAAGCAAATATTTCAATGTATAATAAAGCATTGTTTTACTAAGTAAATTATTACTGGATCAAATATAAAATTATAAGTATATTACTATTCCTGGATATAGAATTGCATTTTTTTCCGTGTAGATCTAGGGTGGCTAATCCGTTATTTTAGCACCCAATCGCCTTGTGCGGATTTTTTTTGTGAGTCGAAAAAGAGCAACGTGACCAATTGTTTGTTCCTAAAGGCCAAAGTATTTTGGTAAGTCGTTTTTCTTATTAATCTTCTCTGTGTTTCTCTATTTCCTATGTGAAAGCATAGTTTTCTGTTAATTATACGGTTAAATTCCGAATATCGGACATACCTATTTATTGCTCCACGCCCTGTCTCATAACGTCCATTTGTTTCAGGCCTTTATTCATCACTTTTAGAAGTTACACTTTAATCTTCAGTCTTAGACGGTACGTGTTAATCGTCACCTTTTATTCGTCACGCTTAGTCCTTAACTTGAGTAAAGAGTTAAACGTTGAGCTTACTGTGTGGTTCAAGTAGTACCTCCAATCTTCAGCCTCCTCTAGACCATTGGAAGCTTTAGTGATTCCTAGTTACTGAACTTCAGTGCCCAGGGCCAGTTGCTTCTTGTTGCGGCCCTGATCCAATCCCAGGCCATCCGAAACACTGGAAGGTATTAATTCCATCCGTCAGGTTTCCCCAAGAGATTAGGGACTACTCAGGTTTGATAAGTGTGTTGTATTGTCTTAATATCAAACCTTACCAACCCCTTGTTGGAGTAAATCACCACAACAACGCAGTTCTACAACAATATTAAATTATCCTTCAGATTAGATGTTGTTATTTCAGTTTCAATTAATTATTACCTTTATTATATGAAATTTACCATTCAGGTTATGTAATGTTAGGTACTTCAATTTAAAGTATTTATCTATACCTTCTATATTATTCCATAATATTAAATTTGCCCCTCAGGCTATTTATTGTTACTTCAACTTTAATTATTGATCTATATTTCTCTTATAACTATCCCATAAATACATGCTGCACTGAATACAGGAAATACTTGTACACTGGGGTTAAATGGCCATTTACGAAGGTACTGCATTTAGTAAGCTTATTTATTAATTTATATTTCAGGTATTATTGCTGGTGATTGTTATACTGTTTATTTCTTTATTTAGGGACTCAAGTTGAGTGTAATTAATCATTATTGTAAATACTATTTTAAGAACATATGGTTAGATACTTCTAGACGATTTATTTTCTTGTTCTGGTTCCAGTGTAAATAATTTTTAGTGTTCCAGGGCGTTCGGAAAACCCACTTCGAACCTGCTCTAGAGTCAACCTGTTCTGGTTTACATTTCTGAATCTAATTAAAACCCGTACCTGATTGTAGCAAAGCGTTTCACTTTTGTCTTTCCTTCTTGTTTACATTTATATTTCAGGT